AAATGTACCATAGATATAAAAGGATAAAAACACAACTCTATGCCCACAAATATGCATAACTTTATGCTCACAAATTTGATAGCTTAGATAAAATGTACCAATTCCGAGAAAGACACAATCTGCCAAAGCTCACACAAAAAGAAATTGACAATTTTAATAGGCCTATATTTATTAATCTAATCAATTATTTATTTATTTATTTATTTTCTTCAGTTATTTACTTTTTTGGAAATAGCACTGAACACTTAAGACTTAAAATTTCTTACTAATCAATAATTTAAAACATTGCAAAAGAGAAAGCATCAGGCCCAGGTGAGTTCACTGGTGAATTCTACCAAACACTTACAGGAGAAATTACACCAATTCTCAATAATCTCTTCCAGAATATAGAAGTGGAGAGAATACTACCTAACTCATTCTGTGAGGCCATCATGCTGATACCTAAACTAGAAAATAAACATTATGTGAAAAGAATACTACAGACCAATATCTCTCAAGAATGTAAATGCAAAAATCCTCAACAAATATTAACAAATTAAACCCAAAAATATATAAAAGGACTTATATAACATGATCCTGTGAGATTTATTCCAGATACATAAGACTGGTTTAATATTAAAAAAATCAAATAATATAATTCATCATGTCAACAATCTAATAAAGAAAAATTACATGATCATATCAATAAATGCAGAAAAAGCATTGGACAAAATCTAATACCTATTCATGATAAAAACTCTCAGCAGACTAGGAATTGAGGGGATCTTCCTCAAGTTGATAAAAAGCATCTACAAAACACTGATAGTTAATATCAAACTCAATGATGAGAAATTTGAGGCTGTTCTGCTAAGATCAGGAATAAGGCAAGGATGGCCCTTCTTACCACATCATACTGGAAGTCATAGCTACTGTAATAAGACAAGAAAAGAAAAGGCATACAGATTGAGAAGGAAGAAGTGAAATTGTCTTTGTTTGCAGAAAATATGATTGTTTATGTAGAAAATCTGAAAGAAATTACTAAAAAAAATCCTGGAACAAATAAGCAATTAAGCAATTATACTAAAGTTGTGGGATACAAGGTTAATATACAAAAGTGATTGCTTTCCTACCTACTAGCAATGAGCAAGTAGAATTTGAAAATTTTTTAAAAAACAAAATCATTCCTATTAACACCCAAAGAAATAAAATACTTAAGAATAAATTTAACAAAATATGTATAAGATCTGTATGAAGAAAACTACATAACCATATTGAAGAAATCAAAGAAGTAAATAAATGAAAACACTGAAAGATAATCAATGTTCGAAGATAGGAAGGCTCGATACTGTCAAGATGTCAGTTCTTCCCAACTTGATCTATAGAGTCAAGACAATCCAATCAAAATCCTGCAAGCTGTTTTAGGACTATGAGCAAACTGATTTGCAGAAGTAAAAAACCCAGAATAGCCAACCCAAAATTGAAAGAGAGGAACAATGTTGGAAGAATTGACACTACCCAACTTTAAGATTTACTATAAACATAGATCAATAAAATGATGTGGTATTGGTGAAAGTACAGGCAAATAGATTATTGGCACAGAATAGACAGCCCAGAAATAGAGCCACAGATATATATCAACTGATATTTGACAAAGTAGTAATGGCAATATACTGGAGAAAATATAGTCTCTTCAACAAATATTGCAAGGACAACTGGATATCCACATACACTAGAATGACACTAGATCCCTACTTCACACCATATATAAAAATTAACTCAAAAAGGATCAATGACATAAATATAGGAGCTAAATAAAACTCTCAGAATAAAACATAGGAGTAAATCTCCATGACCTCAAATTTGGCTATGGACTCAGATAGAACACCAAAAGCTTGACCAACAATAACAAAAAGTAGATAAGTTGGAGCCTGGGGAATCCATAGAAATTGCCTTCTCTCACCCAGCCTGCCTCAGAGGGCTGGCTGGAGAGATAAAAACATAAGGATACTTTCATTTCTGCCTGAGCGCCACACTCACTGCAAGGCTGGGTGGAGAATTGGAGAAAGGTGCCACCATGGGCACAGAGAGTATCTCTAGGTGCAGAGGGTGATGTGAAAAGCTCCCACAAACACACTGTCCTTGGGCCAGGAACCCTGTGTTTGGGTCCTTCCTTGCTGTATTTTAGACATGAAACCTGAAGTCATTTAAAAAGCTTATTAATGTCTGCCTTCTGGGGTGTGGGTAGGATTAACAATTATCTACAGAAAGGGTCCAGTAAAGATGGCTGTGAGTGACATGCCAGCCATCAGGTGGAGGGTTGGGATGAACTGCTCATACCTGAGTTGGCTCCAAGTGATAGCACATTAGGACAGAGAGCTGACACAACCCAGGTCCCTCTCACAGCCCTTTTTTAGACCTCACACAAAAGGAGGTATGCGTCTCCAGGGTAACCCCACTGTTTGGTTACAAACACCCAGCTCTTACATCCCAAGAGCCTGGCCCTCTTCCCAAGAGGTCACCTTGGGAGGCTATACTATTCCAACGGGGCTACCATTGTTCAAAGCAAACAGGGGCTTCCCATGGTGGTCACCTTAACCTTACAACCACCCAGTGGGATACATGACCTTTGCCCATCTTACAGATGAGAAAACTGAGGCTGGGGAGGATCAAGTCACTCGCCCACAAGCCAAACAGCTACTGAAGGGCAGAGCTGGGATTTACCTCTCACCCTTCTGACTCCAAAACCCCAGCAAAGCTTTTCCACGACAGTGCTTGCCTTTCTGCCTGTTGCTTTATGGTCTTCTTTATATTTTCCCTGTGATGCTATAACGTTTATCTGTTTCCTGGCTACCAAGAGGGGCAAGGCTAAATAGCTCTTCTCCCTGGGGTCTCCTCCTGAAAGTAAACCAGAACAACACCACCCCTGCTGCTTTGCTCTGCACTTAAAGAGATTCTTTCCTCTTATACACTGAGGCTTGAGGCCCATCATGTCCCTAGATGGAGAAACATCCCTAGAAGAAAGGTCCTGATGGACGGGAGCTTTTTCTGACTCACTTTAGCGCCTTCTCCAGATTAAGAAAACCAGGCAGGATTCAGGCTCTGTGATAAGGCAACCGCTTCCTGTGGGGATCAGGGCAGCCGCTGCCAGGAGGTTTACAATTAAGATTATGATCCTGGCAGCTGGTGGGGTGAGCCGTGGGACACAGACACTGTCAGTGAGGGACAGCCAGAGCAGGCCCCAGGCCTCACCGCTCCTCCCACACTGTCCACAAAGGCCTCAGCCTGGCCCTGTTTTATCTGCCCCTGGGAGCCGGCCACCCTGCCTTGGATTCCAGCCTAGAATAATCCAGGGCGGCCAGCGGCACACTCTGAAAGGGAGAGTGAACCATCAGATCGGTGACTAAGAAAGTGGCCACGTGCTTTCTGACTATGGGCACAGAGGCAGCCGAAATAGAAAATTCTATTAGGCAGTGGTACAGCCCTTTACAGTCTGCACGCCCCATGCACCCTGCCAGTAGCCCCAGGCAGGGGAAGCAGGTGGAGCGGATATGAAGGGCGCACATACAAGATCCAGTGCAGGGAGCTTCCCGAGTCTTCCTTGTCTTTTCCCCAAAACAACCCATGAGTAGATGTTACCGTCCCATTTTAGAGATCAGAAAATCAAGACCTGCAGGGGTTACATGAGATGCCCAAAATTTAAAAAAAAAAAAAAGTCTAGGACAGGGAAACAAACCATTTTTATATTTTTATGGGAAATGGAACTTCAGAGAAATAATTTGGCTAATTATTTTAAATCTTAAGCTTCAAATCACAGACTTAAGCAAAAGACACAGCATTGTAGGGCAGTTCAGGCAGTGGCTTCAAATCCTGATGACATTACTCAGTGCTGTGTGACCTTGGGCAAGTCATTTAACTTTTCTGAGGCCTGTTTTTCTCTTATCTAACGTGGAGGTGATCATAGTGGCAAGATCACAGGGTGGCTGAGAGGATGGAATGGGATGGTGCAGCAAGTGGGCATCACACTGTGCCTGGCGCATGAAGCGCTCTATCGTATTGCTGGTTTCTCTTCTGGTCAGCAGGGACTCAAACCCAGGTTCTTCTGCACCGCAGATCCTGTGATTTACCACCAAGGGTCGGAGCCATTGTCTTTTGACCAAGACTGGCAATCAGATCTCCTTTGAGTTTTCAAATCCCCTCTCCTCTCCATGGCCTTACATAACCTCCCAGCCACTGACCTGTCACTTCTTCCAGCTCAGCCCCAGTTTTAGAATCCCAGAAATTGAGAGTGTGAGTGCTGGAACAGAGATTCAAATCATAGCTGCCTCATTTTGCAATGAGAAAATGAGGCTCAACGAGGAAAATGACTTATGAGTCACAATGGTGGCCGAGGCTGCTCAGAGGACAGACATCCTAGCTTTTCATCCAGGAAGCTTCCGTGAGGCCACCCAGCCCATCACCAGTCCCAGGATCATGGTCAGTTCAAGAAAGACTTCCCAGAGCCTCCGAAGCAGACTAAGCCTTTTCTGTTCTCAGTTTCACCATGGAATGTGGTGATTGATCCCAGTGCTTGTGGATTTAGACTTTATCCAAAAGAGAATCGAGGGCAGAGGGATGATAATCACCATAGGAAACAACATCTGTCTCATAGTTCCAAGACTGTGGTGGGTATGGAGGAGGCTGAGTTCGAGGAAGGGTCCTTGATACAGATTCCACGAGCCCTCAGGACCCTGCCTGGAACCCCCAAGAGCTCCACTCTTCCTTGAAGAGCTCACTCTCTGCCATACATCCAACCTCATTTCCTGCACCAAGGTGGCCCCTTTGCCCTCATCCATGAGCAAATGTCTAGAGGTGAAGACAATAGTGAAGCCACCCTTCTCCTGCTCTGTACCCCTTGGGCAAGAGCTGAGAGCCCTCTCAAACAGAACTGGTGGTTTGTAGGGCAAGAAGAGAAGAAGAGAGAAGAGCAGACCCTCTTGTTTGAGTAAGTGGAGGTGCCACCCTGCCATGTTGCTACATCATACCTCTTTCCACAGGTGTCTTTCCCTTTGGGCCCAGGGATGCCAAGATTCTCCTACAGTGTCCTCCTGACAGCAGCTTTCAGATACACTCTAGAGAAAGAAGAGAGAGAAACACATTTCAAAAAGGCAGGATTCCTTGGGGACCATCTCAGTCCACACAGTGCTCCCGCTCTCCAAAGTGGGACACTCCCCACTTCCATCACTGCAAGCACAGAAGCCAGACAGGACACCCATGGTTGCTGATACAGTTTAAATGTGTCCCCACCAAATTTCACATCGAATCAAAATTCCCAGTGTTGGAGGTGGAGGCTCAGATGTCCATCCAGGCAGGTGGGAGGTGATTGGATCACAGAGATACGTTTTTTCATAGTTTCAGTAGAAGTTTCAGCTGAAAGTAGCCTAAATCCCCTACACATTTAGTTAGTACGTAAAGCAAATAGCTAAGGTATGTAAAGAAGTTTACCTAGCTAACTTACTCATGTAGTCTTAAAACTAACCTTTAAGCCAAATAGCTCTCTCAAGAAGTCAACCCAAAGATATTACCTTCTAATAGTATTTGCTTTAAGCATCAGAACCTGTCCTTTAATCTTCCAACTCTAGTGGTATTGACTCAAGCCTTTGTCAATTGAAGTTTACTAAATAAATGCAAGTCTCACTAGCTAAAGAAAGCAGCAGTTGCGATTGTTTACAGCACCCTCCAAAGAGTAAGCAGCCACAGACCCTTAGCCAAACTAGCAAAGCATAATATCTGTATGTTAGTGTACTTTATTCATCCATTGCCAGGTCAAAGTCTGAAAGGCTCCCACAAATAGTAACCCTGACAGAGACAGTTTCTCATGAATGAGTTAGCACCATCCCCTCAGTGCCATTCTCATGATAGTGGATTATCATGTGATCTGGTTATTTAAAAGTGTGGGGCACCTTCCCCTCTCTCTCTTGCTCCTGTCTCTACCATGCCACCATGCGTGCTTCCCCTTCTGCCAGGAATATAAGTTTCCTGAGGCTTCCCCAGAAGCAGATGCTGCTATGCTTCCTGTACAGCCTACAGAACTGTGAGCCAATCAAACCTCTTTTCTTTATAAATTACCCAGTCTTGGGTATTTCTTTATAGCAGTGCAAGACTGGACTCAGACAGCTGGAAGGGCAGGACTAAGCACCAGGCTCACACAGCTTCTCAGGATGGCGTCTCCAGAGTCTATGAATGGGGGCATATTTTCAATCTTCCCAAGTCAGCTTGGAGTCTGTACATCCATGCAATGCCACTGAACATGCTAATCAAAACATCACACTATGTTTCTTTGCTTCTAGCTAGAATATTATCAACTTGGTGTGGGAATTCCAGTTTCCTCAGGCTGTAAAAAGTCTTTCTGAGTCATTTTGAAAATAGGAAAAAGAATTAATCATTGCCTAATGAATGCAGGCTCTTTGGGCAAACCCAACACTTTCAAGGTCTGCTATCCATGAAGAGATAAGTAATGGGAAGGAAAGTCTCAGTGGTGAAAAAAGAACTCAGTTCCAGAATGCCAGCAGGGTTAGAAGTCCAGCCTCTCCAACCCTTCCTTTCTGTCAGTTTGATGAAGAGTCCCCAGGTCACCAGAGAAGGATCAAATTCACCATGTCCAGACCACATACCTGCCAGCAGAGACAGGTCAGTCCCGAGGGATGGGCTTGGTCACATGCACAGCTGAGAAATAAGAGCAAAACTTACAGCCTCCAGAGCACAGGGGAGAAAGCTAAGTTCGCCAGTCTCTCCCCTCCCAGACTTCTGCCTTCAGAGACTAGCTGCACAGTGGAAGCCCTGATCAAGTTTCAGGTCTCTTGAATGATAATGATGATAATCCTGACATCCCTTACAACCCCAGGAGAAAGTGTCAGCACATCAGGAACGAGGACCGTGAGCTCAGAGGAGTTAAATAACTTGCCCAAAGTAACATCACTGAAATGAGGCAGAGCTAGGGCTAGAACTTCGGCCATGGGAAGTCAAGCCAGGTGTCAGTGCCATCATCTCCACAGTGGGAGTGTGGAAGCAGGAAGGCGAAGAGTTCAAGGTCTACCCCACAGACCCCAGTGTCAGTGCAGCTCATGCATGCAAGTGAGTCTCAGAACTCCCGTTAACGGATGGGAAACGGATTGGCTAGAGGATGGGACCTCATTTTATTTGTCCATCTGGGCCTCAAGAGTCCATGCAGGCAGTGTCAACACAGGGGGGCCTCATGCATCATGAACCAGACTAAGGCTACAATCAGAGGAATCTGTTACATGTATAAACCCATAAAGTCATATAATACACACACACACACACACACACACACGTGTATATATAGGTATGACCCTGGGCAAGTTATTTACAAAGACAGATAAAGATATAGGTAAGTTTTTCATTTTTAACTACAAAAGTCATGTGCTTCCTCACTAGTCATCCGTTTTAACAGACAGAACCACTGCAAAGACTCTGGAGTGAGACTCTTTAGAATTTATTCTACCCAAACAAATGCAGGTATGCATGTGTGTATAAGCATGTACTTATGTGAGCACATAGCAGTGTGACGTTTTACAAAAATGGGATCTTTTTTTTTTTTTGAAACAGAGTCTCGCTCTATTGCCCAGGCTGGAGTGCAGTGGCACGATCTCAGTTCAGTGCAACCTCCCGCTCCCGGGTTCAAGCCATTCTCCTGCCTCAGCCTCCCGAGCAGCTGGCACTACAGGTGTGTACCACCACACCCAGATAATTTTAGTATTTTTAGTAGAGATGAGGTTTCACCATATTGGCCCGGCTGGCTTCAAACACCAACCTTGTGATCCCCCACTTTAGCCTCCCAAAGTGCTGGGATTACTGGCCTGAGCCACTGTGTCTGGCCACAAAAATGCGATCTTACCACACACATTCTACAACATCACTTGCCAATGATATCATGGCCAAAAAAGATCTTCTTGAGTCCTTTTCATAGCTGCACAGTATGCCATAGTACTCTGTGGGCCACAGTTTATCTACCATTTGTGTATTTCCCACTGTGGCTCTGTCGGACAGCTCCATTTCTGGCCTCTAGAACCTTGCTGCAATGATCACCTGGGTGCCCATCTTGGTGCAGAAATGTTCATGTAATTCCAAAGCCCAGATGCTTAGAAGTGAGCAGAGGAGAGGCTGGGTAGTGCTGACAAACTGCCTTCCCCAAATGCTGGATTGTCACCTCACAGTGCAGGGCAGAAGGAACCCCTTCTCTCAGATGTAAATTTGAACCCAGGGCTCTGCTTGTGGAATGGCTTTCCTGGGCACCTTCCAGCGGCCTGGGAAGCCGAGAGCCCTGGACAAAGGGAGGCGTGTGGGACTTGGCTGGTGCAGATGTAGCTGTTCTGCTGTCTGGAGCATCGCAGAGGAACTCGGGCCTACCTGAGCCAGGAACTGCATTTACTGGCTTAGAACTGATAATGAGCTTTTATGAGCTCCAGGGACTACACGGAACACGTATTAGTGTCACGAGTGCCTGTCAGCCGCACAGCCTGGCTGAATGTCACACATTAACGGAATTAAAGGCCGCAGCCACGCCGGGAAGGAGCTGCGGGCTGCATGTCAGGAGGTGTGGGCAGCGCTTGTCAATAACAAAATTACTTTCCAGGTTTTGTGCTCTGGAGCCTTAAGCTGTCTCCCGTCTTTGGTGGAATTCTGCCTTCCTGCAGCCTCAGAGGAGATTAGTTTATTACCAGCCTGCCAGAAGAGGCAAAACCCAGCACTAATCCTAATTCCCATTTGAGCAAATCTGCATTGTGTGAGGGAAACCAGCTGGGTTTAGAATGTTTCCCCCTTGCCCCTGAGACCTCACTGTAGCCCCTGCTCTCCATGGGGGAGGGGATTCGATACAGATGTTAGAGCCAGAGCTCTCCTGAGAGACAGAGAAAAGAATCCCAGGGTTTAGGGCTAAGAGCAGGAGTAGGTCCTGGGTGAAAGTGGCAGGGTGTAAGCCTGGTGGGCAGGCGATGGGGGGTTGCCCTTTACCTGATTAGTCTTGGGCTTTGGGAAGTCCCCACCACCCTCCTGCCCCCAAACTTGATCTTGCTCTGTGTATAGTTCTCCTGAATGTTTGGCGGGGGCACAGGTTGAAATCCTAAATCGAGTTCTTACTAGCGGTGACCCAGAGCAAGTGACCTACCTACATCATGCCTGGCCTCCTCATCTATGACACAGGGCTAACGACAGCTGATGACTCGCAAGCTAGTGTGAGACCCAGGGAGAAATGTGTGTGCAGAACTTAGCAGAGAGCCTGGCACATGATATCATGGCTCTTGAATGGACGTCTCCATGGATCATAATGACACCGCAATTTTAAACACTAAGAAACAGAAAACACTACCAATTAATTAAATTATCTATGACATCACTTTTTGTAAAATGCATCCTGGTTTCAGAGACATTAAAATGTTATTTTAAAAAAGCGCGCCTTAGAATCCACAAAATACAGGAGCTTAATATGTGGCAGTAACTATAAGAAGTATACGCCAGGTTCACCCATTTTGCAAGGCCTGGCTCAAAAGTTAAAGCTTCTTCCTCTTCTTCCTCCTTCCAAACTAGGGGAGAGCTCTCAATTTACAAGAAAAAAATCAGTCAGCCCACTTCCGTGTCCTGGATGAGGCCCAGATGAGAAACTTTAATATGTCTCCTGATGTTTCCTATTCTACTTTTATTGTTTTAATTAAAATATAACATACATACACAATAGCACACATACCATGAATATATACCGCACTGAGTTTTCACAAACAGAATATCCCTGTGCAACCAAAACCCAGATCAAAGACTCTTGTCTATTTCCCAGCTACTGATTCTCTTCACCTCATGTGTCCCAAAGCCACCTTGACTATCCTCATAGCACCTGCCCGTCCCCTGGCTGGGCGCACCCTCATTACTGCTGTCTGCTTGCTGCACATGGGCTCCTGGCTGTTCTGCCAGCCTGCAGCCTCTGTTCCCCACTCTGCCCTCTCTTTCACTGTTGGAGTGAGCCCATAAATGTAAAGCACTATGTCTGTCCCTGCTTTAGTGGGTTCCCTGGCCTCCCTTTGTCTAGACACAAGGCCTTTTATCATCTGATCCCCAGGTC